AATCTTAAAAATAGCATTTATCGGCCGATAACGATATGGCCACCGATATATCGTTCATCCCTAATTTTTTTCGATTGTCTACAGAACAAACAAATATACAATGATTAGCCTAATTACCCTAACTTGCCTAATTAACCCAGTAAAGCCGTTAAATGTCACTTTAAGCTTAATACTGGTATCTTGAAAAAATATCTAGTGTAATATTACTGTCATCATGGCAAAGATAAAAGAAATCCGTTATTAGAAAGGAGTTATTAAAATTATTATGATTAGAAATGTGCTGAAATAAATCTTCTTTCCAGGGGGCTAATAATTCAGGAGGTTAATAATTCTGACTTTAACTTTACATTCCTTTGCTTCAAAATCAAAGTTTGAAATGTTGTGATTCAACCCTCAGCTGGTTGCTTTGGCTTTTTTTAATATGCCTATGGGAAAATGAATGGGGGAAACTCTGAACCAACGTGTGTGGGGGGAGGGGTGTGTGTCCACTAATGCACTCTATTAAGTCTCCTAAGTAACGTAATGTAATGAGGTCTCTGAAATGGCAGGTTGACAGGATGTGATGTCATATGAAGTGGGTTTTGGAAGTGGCAGGGAATGGGATCCCAGCGCCTGTCCAATGGTTAATGAATGAGAAATGAGGGGGGGTATGGACGAGTGAATGGTCCGGGTGTTCTCCGGCTGTGATTCCCCAATGAAGCATGAAGAACACACAATCACACTCAAAAGGCTTGGAGAGTGGAGGGAACTGGGAATGGGGAGGGTGTTGCATCACAACAGACAAAATGAACTGTCTGGGAGCAGAAGAGAAATGAGGGAAGGCAGTGACGTTCATTATGACGCTTAGTGGTGTAAAGTAAGAAGTTTCGAATACTCAGGCTGATTTCACACCTAGACGTTTTGTATAAGAACCTGGCGTGTTAAGCCTGGTTTACACTTCTGCGTCAAGTGACCGGCGTAACCCACGGTGCATGCAATGCACGTAGCTGTGCATTTATTCTTCTGTCTCTGTTGGTCTGCATTAACACTTCCGAAATGCTAGTTGGCAGTGAGGTGTAAATGTTCCTCTGTGTCGAGTTTCTTCGCTGGTGTTTTGCTTTTCCTGAACACTTCCTGAATGTAAAAGTGGCTCAAACTCGCTCATTTTGAGGCGGGAACCGGCAGACGTGCAACAACTTTAACTATGAGGTAAACACAAAATAAAACTTTCCGTTCTGAGCTATATATATATATATATATATATATATATATATATATATATATATATATATTTATTTTATTTTATTATTTTTTTTTTTTTTTGGTTTGCATCGCACCTCCTGCGATGTGACTATCGCGGATGCGCACATCGCGATTTCGATGCTGTAACGATGTATCGTGCAGCCCTACCGTAGGGTTTATTTTAAAGTTGAATTGCAGCCATATGTACTTCTGGGTACATAATTCATGATCTCCAGAAATGTATATAGGGCTACGTTTTCAGAATGAGCCTATGTTAGTTACATGTAATACAGCAAAAACTGTACAATAACAATCACAATAACAGAAATGTTTCCTGCAGGGACAACTCACCTCATCCTACAGGTTGTTGTTTGTGTGTGTGTAACTCCCAAACTATGACTCACTTAAATCATTCTCCCTACCAACAACAGCAACAAGACTGTAAAAAACACACCACTGAATTCTGGATGGTGTGAATGTGTAACATCAGAACAATTTTATTCTGCATGACTGGACACGCCACACACACACACACACACACAAGGAAAACTTCTAAAGCCTCGCCAGTTATCTGCGGGCAAAACTGGCAGCGCGTCTCAACAGCAGTTTCTGGCAAAGTTTTCTCTGTGATTATGTTCTTGAAGTAGTACAGCAAGTGAATACACACCCTAATGACCGAATCAGTAGATAAAATTACAGAAAATAAAATAAAAATGTCTATTTGATCTCATGCCGACAGCAGGTCCAACCCAATACAAACTGGATAAAAAAAAATAGCTAAAAGAATTGCTTGAATACTAGGGGGCCTATCATACACCCGACGAAATAAGGCGCAATACATGCATGATGCGATTCGGTGCTATTTTCAGACCAGCACAACAGACATTTTCACGTTTCGCCCCACGTTGTTTAAATAGCAAATTTATTTGCACCTCTTTGTGGATATATATATATATATATATATATATAGTCAAATAAATAAATAATTAAATAAATAAATAAATATAAGGATAGCCTAAAACCCAAAAAGTTAAGGTAACTCAAACCATTTGAGGAAACTGATTGCAACAAACCACTTAAGTTCAAAAACGAATCCTAATGAGTGCTGTGAACTTAATCCATTTAAGTAAAACAAAGCAATTTCAGAACAGTTAAACCCAATAAATGAAGAGAACTCAAACCAACTGAGTACTGTAAAACCCAATAAGATAAGGCAACTCAACCCGTTTTGGCAACTCAACATGACGACCTGAAGGTTGTATTCACGTTAAACCACCGTTGGGGAGCTAAACAAACTAAAAGTCGAACTCGAAATAAGAAAACGAGCGAATGATGCACGAATGAATAAATGAAGTGGAGTCCATTGATAAACTTGAAAACTTATTTCGTTAATCAAAAAAAGAGTAGTCAAAAACTGCAACGTTTATTTACATGTGCTTAGAATCTGTCTGGAGTGATGTTGCTGCATAATCTGAGACATGGGGAACCTGTAAAATAGTTGCATTTCATTAAACTGGACAGCTGCGCCTTTTTAAAAGGCCAGATATTCAATAAACATTTTTATCCTGACACTAAAAGTTCTTCTACACAACTTGACAAAAGTCTTGTCGTTAATCTCAGTTGTAAGAGAAACAAAAAATAACTTTACTTCAAGTTGATCATTTAGAAAAGTGTCAGAAGGTCGATTTAGGGCCAGACGGAATCTGCGGATGTTTTTTGCTATTTCTGCGCAGAATTTTGGTAAAAATCAGCGTATTTCTGCGTAATTATTTTGAGAGTATCCAGCGGAGTATCATAACTTAGACCTTAATATATTAAATAAAAAGTAAATTACTGAATAAAAACTGAATGAATTCAGATTTACACATTTACACAAGTAAATAAACAGAATTAATGATGAGCTAAAAATCTGCAGAAATCTGCGGAATTCTGCGGAAAATCTGCGAAAAATCTGCGGAATTCTGCGCGCGCAGATTCCGTGTGGGCCTAGATGAGTCATCTGTTGATCTGCATCCAAATCATCACAGATACTGCAGAAGACCTACTGGAAAAGGCATGGAGCCAAGATTCTCACAGAAATTAGTCAATTTTCGTTTGAGGAAACCGATTGCTACAAACCATTTGAGTAAAAAAATTAATCTATGAGTTCTGTGAACTTGCTCCATTTAATTGGAAGTAATGAATGAGGTATTTACTTAAATCATTACCTTCAGCACTGAGTTCAAAACTCTTTTCAAATGAGTAGAATTCACTTTCAGTAAAATTTGAGTTAACTACACTCATTTCATTTGCTAAAGTTGACTGTTGGGTTTTACAGTGTACGTAATGTCTGAATGCCATTAAAATACAAATAGTACAACAAATACAAAAGTTACTGTAGTACATTGATGGTAGCTACCACATATCTTGATATGTCACGGTGTGACTCTTAGATTGAGGTAAAGTTGGTTTTGTATTCGCACATTCGTTCAGGGACAGCTAATAGTACAAGCAAAGTCCCTGTAATGTGTGTTTTGTAGTCATTGCTTCTTCCGTATTGCATGTTTTGAAGACTACCATGGTACATCGTTAAATTTATTGTAGTACCATGTACTCACTGCCCTGCTGAAAAAAATCCTGCTTAAACAATCCTAGGATGGTTGCCTGGTTTTAGAAGGGGTTTGGCCACTTCCGGGCTGGTTTCCAGCCATTTCCAGCCTGGTTTTAGCTGTGCAGCTAAACCCAGCTTGACCAGCCTAGCCAGGCTGGGAGCCCAGCCAAAACCAGCTATGTCCAGGATGGTCAAGCTGGTTTAAGATGGTTTTAGCTGGTCACTTTTCAGCCTGACCAGCTAAGACCAGGCTGGTAATGGCTGGAAACCAGCCTGGAAGTGTCCAAAACCCCTCTAGTACCAGGCTGGTCGACCAGCTAAAGCCAGCCAACCATCCTAGGCTGGTTTAAGCTGGATTTTTCAGCAGGGTGAGTAAAGTTAATATACAATATAGAGGTAAAGTTGGTATTATATTTTCATATTATATTTGAATGATATAATTTCATAAAAGTATTATTTGCAAGCTCTAAATAGTGAAATTATATTAGAATCAAATAACTATCAAAGTACAAAATTGTTCACAGTCAAATAAACAGTGTTAATGTTGTTTTCAAGTAACTTGCATGATAATTGAGATCAAATATTCAAAGTAACATGGTAAACAATATAGAGACTTCTAGATGAACGAATGTGCGCATATAAAACCAACTTTACCTCTATATACACAATGACGTTTGAAAACCTGAAGGTCTCACCTCTACATGCGTGTTGTTAAAATGTTTATTTAATGATCAAGCATTGGCGAATTACAAGGTAATCGTATTAATAACTTCTTACAGACGTAATGTTTTATTATCTTGACTAATGAAGTGTTTTCCGTTTACTCGGAGCGCGCCTCTACGTGTTTACAAAATACGTGCACGTGTCACGCGCTGAAGCCGAACTATAAATCAAATTGGACGACATAATTTCACATAAAAACATTTCAGTCACTCAAGATGACGACCTGAAGGTTGTATTCACGTTAAACCACCGATGGGAAGCTAAACAAACTAAATGTCGAACTAAAAATAAGAAAACGAGCGAATGATGAATGAATGAATGAAGTGGAGTCCATTGATAAACTTGGAAACCTTTTCAGTCAATCAAAATCCATCAGAGTAGTCAAAAACTGCGACGTTTGTTTACATAAAATCGCTACATATGCGACATACATAGTTAGTGTGAGCTTAAAGAAACAGGCTCTTACCTGTGTGAGTGTGTGAAATCTGGGTCACCCGTCCTCCAAAAGTTCCTCTATTCTCCTCAGACTGCAGTAAATCCCCGCGGGACCCCAGAGCCAGTGTTCAGTCCCTCACAAACACGCCCTCGCTCCCCCTCCAGCGTCAGCCTGTCCTGGGACAAACCTTAACAAACCTCTCACACTATTCACTATACTTCCTCGTTCATACGCTTAAATCAACATTTTGTTTATTTGTTTCCTTATTTTGTAATTGTAACCGGGAAATGATTTGCATGTCACGTAAGTTTTGTTAATTAGCTATTGGAGGGCTGGAAATTACTCATATTAAATGTAATAATTGGTACATCAGAAGAAATTTTGTTAATACATCCAGCTTGTACCTGAAAGCTTTTTATAAATGGAAATTAAATTGCACGGTTCTCTCCACCATTAAAATCTGGCCTGGTATTAACAAGTTTTAGTGCTTTCAATAAGATGAAAGAACTTTATTTTAAAATCTTTCATATTTACTATGCCTGTAATTCTTTACAGTCTAAGTTTAATATAAACAATTCTTTGCAATGCTCATTCTGTAATTCTAACCTGGAAACAACAGCGCGTTTATTTTTAAAATGCAATTATGTAGAAAAATTTTGGACAGAAATATCTTGGCTTCTCAGCTTACAAAAAACCTTTTGATTTTAAGACAATTAATTTACTGTTTTTTAATTGGGGGTCAGATTGTAAGAAATTGGACTATAAGTTAAAAATGTGAACTCTTTGTGGCCTTTTCCATCTCCACAAATGCAGAGTTATTCAGTGTTTGCCTAATTTAAGAACATTTTGTATTGACTTGAAACTTTATTATGAGTCTGACTTATCGCATAGGAAAGCTGCTAAATAACTGAACTGCTGAAAAAATAATCATTATAATCATTAACTTTAAGTTATCAGATCCCTCTGGTACGCCTATGTAACATTCCTAATAATTCAAGTATAGTTTGAGATGTTTATGTTTTAATTCTTCTGATATATATTTATTTCTTAATTCAGTTTTCTTTAAGTAATTGTTTTTCTTTCATCAATTTTTTTCTTTTTCCTTATCAAAAAATTATTTTCCTTACAATTTTAGCACAAATTAATGTTTTTTGTATTCCCTGTTACTTATGTTAATAAAAAAAAGAAAAGAAAAAAGAAAGTTTTTATTATAATCCAATACTCCCCGTATTCATCACACACAATATGCTTCTGCACATACATTCTGTCATGTCCCGTTTTATTTGCAAATATATTTTATTTGCCATTTAGTAATAACAAAAATTAACATTTTCATGACAAAGCTGACAATTGGTATTTTGCTTAAAATGATCCTGATTACAAACTAAAATATTAGATTCTTTTGATATTATATTTCACTATTGGGCATTTCTCATTGGGACAGCTAATAAAATATATTTCTTTTCAATGCAATTCTTTGACAATGTCATCATAGTGGGTTGTATCCTTAAAATGAGTTCACAAGTAATCTAAACTTTCCAAAACTTTTGAATCTAAAAGAAAAATATCTTTATAATTCTTCAAAATGTTTTCCATATGAAATAAATGCTTCAGGAATCTTCCACCATTGCATATCGGCACATTTGAAGTGCAATGTAAGTCCATTGCTTGCATTGGTTTTCAGCTTAACACCCATCTGAAAAATAAATGCAAAACACAATAAGTTTCCAAAATTTAAGCCTCAATATTGTTTCCCAGTACCGGGTAGCAGCACGGTATCCGCTGCGAAAAACATATCCTGGAATAGTTGGCGGTTCATTCCGCTGTGATGACCATCTGATAAGTAAGGGACTGAAGTCGAATGAACAAGTCCCAATATTTTTTCCCAGTTTACATCATCCATCACTGTGGCAAAACTCAAAAGTCTATATCCCAGCCAGAATCATCCAATGGTGTTGCTTCAGTGTAGGTTTCTGTCGGGAGTGATGTTCCTCCATAATCCGAGACATGGGGAACCTGTAAAACAGTTGCATTTCTTTAAACTGGACAGCTGCGCCTTTTTAAAAGGCCAGATATTCAAAAAACATTTCTATTTAACACTAAAAGTTCTTCTACACTACTTGACAATCTCAGTTTAAGAGCAACAAATAATAACTTCTAGTTGATCATTTGGAAAAGTAGCAGAAGGTCGATTTTTCAGCTGAATCATCTGTTGATCTGCATCCCAATCATCACCAATACTGCAGAAGACCTACTGGAACCAGCATGGAGCCAAGATTCTCACAAAAATCAGTCGATTTTCAAGGAAAAATCTTGGTTTGGGGTTACATTCAGTATTGGGCCGTGTGAATGATCTGCAGAGTGGACGGCAACATCAACAGCCTGAGGTATCAAGACATTTGTGCTGCCCATTACATTACAAACCACAGGAGAGGGACAATTCTCCAGCAGGATAGCGCTCCTTCTCATACTTCAGCCTCCACATCAAAGCACCTGAAAGCAAATAAGGTCAAGCTGCTTCTGGATTGGCCAGACCAGTCACCAGACATAAACATTATTGAACATGTCTGGGCTAAGATTAAAGGGAGGGCATTGAAGATGAATCCAAAGAGTCTTGATGAACTCTGGGAGTCCTGTAAGAACGCTTTCTTTGCCATTCCAGATGACTATTAATAAGTGATTTAGATGTATGGATGCAGTCCTCCAAGCTCATGATGGAGTCAGACACAATATTCATTCTGTCTCCACTGCAGCAGGACTTTATATTCTATACTGGACATTATTTCTGTTCAGTGACAAGACTTTTGTCTGAGCAAAGTCAGAGCTTACTGTCCTAATGAAATCATTAAAAATCAAGGCATCATCATATTTTATTTTGGTCAAATAAGCGTAATCTAGAGGCCTTTGCCTTTCATATAAGCCACTTCTGATACCAAATGATCAACTAGAAGTCAAGTTATTATATGTTGTTCCCTAAAACTTGGATAGGCGACAAGACTTTTGTCAGGTAGTGTAGATAGCAGACAAAAAGCAATAGCTAAGAGTGTCTCTTTAAACTTATTCACAAAGCTGCTAAGAGAAAAAAGTTACAGTCTTGAAGACAGAGTTCACCTCAAAAAACCGTCTCATTTACTCACATGTGACTTGTTCCAAACCTGTTGGAGTTGTTTTGTTGTGTTAACCACACAAAAAAAGATATTTGAAGAATGTTGGAAACCGGTATCTATTGACTTCCATAGTAGAAAATACAAGTAGTATGGAAGTCTACGGTTACTGATTTTTCCAACATTCGAAATGTCTTGTTTTGTGTTCAACACAACAAAAGAACTCAAACTGGCTTAGTAAAAAGTCAAAGATGAGTAAACGATGACAGAATTAAACATTTTTGTTGAACTATTCCTTAAAATTAAGAGTAAGGCGAGGGTTGCCAGTGTTGCTGTGAATGCTGTCATCACGATTACAACTATGCAGGCTGGCTATCAGAGATTTACTCATAGAAACATTATAGAGCACAATCATTTATTCACCACATTAAAATAACATTTAAATAACTCCTAACATTTCACAGATTTAGCAGCTAGTGCTAAAAAGCTTTGTAAGATCATTTTAAAGCAAAAGTTTAGAAGTCCTTAATATAAGTCTAACATGGCCGTTAGTTTTATGATTTTATCCAAAAATTTCAAGTTACTAGACTTTTAAGCTAGAGTTTTACCATGTTTGAATGCATTCAGTCAATCTTCAGGTCTGGTAGGAGCACTTTTAGCTTAGCTTAGCATAGATCATTGAATTGGATTAGACCATTAGCATCTCGCTCAAAAATGACCAAAGACTTTAGATAATGTTCTTTTTTTATAGCTTGACTCTTATATTGTGTACTAAGACAGACAGAAAATGAAAGGTTGCTATTTTCTATGCCCATATGGCTACCCAGCCGGCACACGACCGACCTTCAACGTTGAAATATGGTTGAAATAAGGTCAGATGTGTTTTGAACGTTGAAATAATGTTGATAGAACGTTTAATGTTGAACGGTTGAAAAACAGCCTGCATATGACAAGGCTTCAACGTTGAAATGTGGTTGAAAATACGTCAGTAGTTGCTTTAATGTTGAAACAATGTTGAATGATAAATGGTTGAAAAAAGTTACAGAAATCCTTGTACAAATCAACGTTGACATTTTTTTTATCATGGTCTGTATGTTGAATTAACGTCATGGCTTCACCCAATATTCAACATGTTTGGTTACCATGGTATCGGAAGACTCGGCGCACGCGGCCACGCGCAGCGCTTCACTTCACTTAATTACGAACACCTGACCTGCAGTGCAGCAGAATTCAGAGGTAAGCGTGTTTTTAGATGCTTTAAAGTTTTATTTACCCCCCGATTTTGTTTTACACACATCTTAAATGTGACTTGGTGTAGTGTTTCGAATTTTAAAGCATTTAAAACTTTCCAGTTTGTTTTTGTTTGCGCTCCGGTGACGCAGCTAACCTCGAGGTAATGTCACATGTTTAACGTTAGTCTAAATGAGCGTTTTTATGGCAAATTCAAAGCGATAAACTCCAAACGCAGTTTAAAGTTACTGAGCAACGTTATAAAACAATATCCATTTTATACGCTGTATTATTAGTGTTATTATTACAAAGTGAACTGCTGTCGTTTCACTGTTGTTGTTGTTTTTGCTTTTAGACATGTAACTTACTCCAGAGACGCACTAACTTGCACAGCATTGAATGGAAAAGGCTTTGCCCATGTAAGTTTACTTTACCTTTAACTAAGCTATCTGTTAAATCTTCTTAGTGCTTTGGTTAACCAAAAGCATGGTGATATTCTCTTTCTAATATGTTTGTTTATTGATTGTTAGGCTATGTTGTGATATTATATTGTTATATTGATATTATTATTGTGAAATCATGTTGTGATGTTATACTATGTGACAGTATTGGGGAACAAATATGTATTTAGTGAGAAATTAATGCTTAAATTACACTTTGTATAGTAGCAGATAAAAGGTGTAATGGGTTTTAACTTTCTGAGTTTTCTGGAAGGTCCAGTTGAGGGGCATCAAGAACACGCAGATAGCCTACCTGGACAGACTGCAGTTCTGCTACTCCATGCCAAGGCTTTTGTATGGATGTCTGACTACTACTGTGTTCTCTAAAGGTATTACTGGAGCAAAACAACAGCACCTGTTACAG